AGAGAAAAAAAAAAAAAAAAAACCCAATCTATATTCAAATGAACTTTGATAACCTACCTGCAAATTCAGGGGATCTGTGCTGCATCTTGCCAAGCTCAATCTTTATCTCTTCAAACTCGATCCCATTAACCCTTTACACAAAATCAAGAATAAAACAATATATTATCTTGACAAAAAAGTATTTTTAAACACAAATTGAAAGTGTACAATACGAGAAATCTTACTTGCAAAAAATTAGTAGAGCCCTTGAAGGTTGGGACATGCGATCTACATACAGTTTAAGCTCCATTCTTACAATAAAATTTGGCCCTGTCTTTTCTGTATAAAGGGAAAAGAAAAACTTGCACAAGAACAAGTACAGTGATTCTTAATGAGGCTCGTGAATCAGTTTGTGTCTTTATATAATACAAGTCAAGAGTCAAGACATAATTGGTGGTGCTCCTTTTACTTGGTCCTCTTTAAGACTTTTTCAAAATTGGTAATTTATTTATTTATTTGTAAAGTCGAAAGAAATTGTCTCTTTAGTTGACATGATATACACCCACATGAGTGTATATTCATCTAACGAATATAATTACTTGTTCAATTGCTCTTNNNNTTTTTTCATTTTGATTCCACCTTGACTTTCTTCTTTTTCTTTGCAAGGTAGCCTCTTTTTCCCTACATTTATTTATTGTAGACATAGACATGCTGCCCTAATTAATAAGTAGAAAATATTGGCATGCAACAAGCACTAATAAAGTATTCAGGTCTTGTTTGACACTTACCATATAACAGATAACATATTAAATTAGCTAATGGTGAATAGTCAATTGAAGTAGAGTATATTTGATGAATTTCGCCGAAAAGTTATTAAATAGTTTAAGTGAATTTCATATTTATAGTTAATAAATTATAACAAATGAGTAAAAGATTAGCTGATATGATAAAATTAGTTAATAAATCAAAAGAAAAAAAATTAAACAATTTTTTTTTCTTGAAAATTACATTGTGAAAGCTTATGAGATAAAGTCGCTATTTTTAGAGAAAACTCATCATACAAAACCAAAACTTATTTAAATTCAAAAAGCTTACAAACTAGCTAACCGAGTAGGCTATAATTTAACTTATTATGATGTTTACCAAATATGCCCTCCTTTGGTGTGCCTCCCCCAGGCAGCCTGCGTACCAGTGGTCACGGCAAGCAACTAGCTTGCCTGGGCTTGGCGGAGAGGCTATGGCAGCCCCTCGTTTCTTCCTCCCCAAAGTGGTCTTCCTCTCTTCTCGAGTGCCATGTTCGATTCGCCGGAGGCCGTGTTCCGGCAGATGCTGCGTGTTCATGGCGGCGGTCTAGCCTTGGTTCTCTCCTCTCCATTCTTCCTTGGTGTTGGATAAGTGCGGTCCTTCGGCGGCGTTTGCGCGGTAGCGTGGCGAATGCGGTGTTTGCGTGGGCGAAGGGGAGGGGGTGTGGAGTGGACCGGCCTGGGCGGGGTTGCAGAGTTCAGAGAGCGGTTGTGGGATCTGCGATCCAGTTCTAGTTAGCCCATTACGGGATTTTCTGGTTCCGTGGGGTTTGGACCGTAGTTTTTGTAGCTGCTTCTTGGTTGTTCATATTTGGTGTTAGCGTAGGTTGTGTTAGCAATGGGTGGTCCTGTCTGGTGGGGAGGACGTTATTTTCTATTATATTTTTTTAAGGTGTATCTTAGTTTCTTTATTTAGTTGTTTATTTTTTGTTGGTGTATTATTATCTTGTTCGGAGAGTTGTTTTATTCTATTGTTGAGAGTTTGTGTTTTTCTAGTGTTGTCTTGTGTTTAAGTTGTTTCTAGGCTACCTCAAACTAGATGCTTATGTGGTTAGTCCTCCTAACTAGATTCAATCGAGTAGCTGATTTATTCGATTATTTAGTTACTCTCGACTCTCAAGTATGTAATGATTTGCTTTCTTTTATTGAAGTTGATTGTTGAATTAAAAAAAAGAAAAAGAAAAATGATACATAACCAACTTAGTATATACCTAAGTTAGACAACACAAGTGAAAACATTGGGTATTTTTTTTTTTCGACACGTGTTGTGCATCTAGCGAGTACGCGTATATTAGCAACGTCGCATTTTCTGCGCCATCCTTCACAATTCATTTTGTTTTCACATTTTTCGAATCCTTTTCTCAGTTCCATCTCTTTCATGTCCTCCCTCACGCTCCGCATTCTGGTAAACAAGAATCTCATTAGACCCATAATTACAAGTTTCTCTTCGGTCCTGACGAAAACCCACGTCGATTCACCAATCGTCGAGCCGAGTCATTCGCGTTTCGAGCTCGTTAAGGCTAGGTTTCTGTCATCTTCATCCTGTATTTGTCGGAGAAATTCTCTGTCTTGGAGCTTGAGAGCAGATCGTACGATGGCCAGCCAATCAGCCCCGCCTCAATCTGTGCATGATTTCACCGTTAAGGTATACCCTTTTCGTTAATTTATTTTTTGGTTTGATGATATTTATGCCGTGTGGTTTATTGAGGATTTTGGGGGATCTGAACTTTGTAGTCTCAGCTTCATATAGAAATCTTTTGTACAAAAAGTGGTCTACATGGTAACATATATTCTGCTTTATGGATTTTTTGGTGAAGTACTACTTTTGGGCGTCATGATATTGCTAATGGTGCTTGCACGCAATGGGTATTGCTATCAGTCATAAAAGTATAAACTATAAAGGGGCTGACGTATATACTTATGTGAGTATTATGTATTGAGATTTTCCTCTCAAGTATAATATTTTAGTTTATATTGAGTATCATCTATGGGACTATGACAGTTTCTGTTAAAGCTCTGATTTTGGCGCTGCTTAGGTGTGGTAAGTTCTGTTTTTTCACGATTTTGGTCCTTAAAAGGAGCCGACTACTATAGTAATACCTCGAACAAAGTTGCCAAATTTAGGTCTTGTGGGACTAAAGTTGTTAGATTGCACATATGAGCTTAAGGTGACTAGTGTTTGGCATCCTTCCCAAAATAAAGCAAATATAATACAAATGATGCAATTTCATCAAATGACCATTAGAAAATGCATCATTTGTAGAAACTGATATGGTGTCTCGTGACTTTGTAGACTTAATTTAATATTAGTAAAGCCTCTTGTACATGGCATAATGCTGATTGCTGGAAGCTTCCGTTATGAATTGAGCTGATAGCAGAGAATGGTGTTTCTTTTTCTTGATTATGTTCAGTCTTGCATGCATTTTAATTAACAGGACTGAACATAAAGTTGTCCAGTCCATTCAATTACTCCTTTTCGTTTTAAAACACCATACTGTTGGTAATTTCATTTTTGGTGAGAAATGTCTGACAATGTCAACTGTCTTTGTGTGCAGGATGCTAAGGGGAATGACGTTGATTTGAGCATATACAAGGGAAAAGTCCTTTTAATTGTCAATGTCGCATCACAGTGGTAAGTGGACTTTTGTCTTAGCTCCTTCCTTTGGTGATCTAACTTCTATGCTTAATTGAAGACTTTCCGAGTTAAAAGTCCTTCGGTGTGCTTTTTGAAATTCTTGAAGGGGAACTCATTTCTCATTCTGACAATTGCTTAGTTGTTTAGTGTTTTCTGCAAACATGGCATTGCCAATATTGGCTGCATTTGATGAGCTGTCTCCTAAACCTGAAAAAAATAATTGTATTCTTTCTATTTGCCACAGTGGCTTGACAAATTCAAATTACACTGAGTTGACCAAGTTATACGAGAAGTACAAGGATCAAGGTTTGATCTGGTTTTACTATTTTCCAAGTTTCTGCTGGTGCTTGGTGCCCTTTTCTTTATGCAATAACTGCTATTCAATCATACACACAAATTGATTTTTCACTCCTTGCCTTTTGGAACCCAAGTGCTGAGTTTCACTTTCAAGTGTATATCAGTTCATGCAAGACCAATAATCTGTTTATGGGTTGAGTTGCCCATCATTTTTCTTAAACAGAAAAAATAAATAAATAAAATAATTTTTTTTTTTTTTTTTTTGGAATCTCAATGTGATTTCATTTGCTTAGGTTTGGAGATTTTGGCATTTCCATGCAACCAGTTTGGATCACAAGAGCCCGGCACCAATGAACAAATCCAGGAGTTTGCTTGCACTCGCTTCAAAGCCGAGTATCCCATATTCGATAAAGTAAAGCTTGTTGGATCTTTCTATTTCATTTTGGGAAATGAAACTTAATTTTAATGTTAGATGGAAGATCTGTTTTATACTTTTATTTATCTTCAATCTGGAACGAGTATGAGAATACATTCCATATTTTAAAAGTCTCCCTTAAATATGCTGACAAAGATTCAATTTTTTCTCGACTCAGATTGATGTAAACGGTTCAAATGCTGCTCCACTGTACAAATACCTGAAATCAGGCAAAGGTGGGCTTTTTGGGGACGGCATAAAATGGAACTTTTCCAAATTTCTTGTTGACCAAGAGGGTCGTGTTGTTGACCGATATGCCCCCACTACCTCCCCTCTCAGTATAGAGGTAAGGAAATTATATCGTATATTCAAATACACAATATTTAATCGGATCATAGCTGAAAGATCTTGCTGCATTCTCTTGTCTTTGCAGAAGGACATAAAGAAACTCTTGGAGAAAGGTGCAAACAAATGAAGATAAATCATTGAGCATAATAAGAAATGCAGTGGGCATGACTCGATAATAACAATAATGATAATAATATTGCCTCTCAGCATACTTGAATGAATAATGACCTTTCTATAATTGTATGTGAATGCATTTCAATGCAGATGTTTCGATATGGATGAATGTTATGGGTGCGTTTGGATATGAGACAAAATCTGTGTTTTTTGACCGATTGAATTATTTTGTTTTCAATCTTCTAACTCAAAATCTAATGCAACTCAACTCTCTTCAATATTATTAATATGTTAAATAAAATAATTAATTATCTTCACACATCAAATCAAGTTTAATTTATTATTCATGTATTTATATAAGTTTAGGAAAAAACTGCAGTCCCGTCACGGAATTATTCCGTGAGAGATTTTAGCCATAGATTATCTATATAACTAACTTGCATACATATCTAAAGGCTAAAATTCTTCACGGAACCATTCCGTGACGGGACTGTAGTCTTTTTCAAAAAAATAAAAGTAATAAATAATTAAAACTCAAAGTTGGAACCATTCCGTGACGGGACTGTAGTCTTTTTCAAAAAAATAAAAGTAATAAATAATTAAAACTCAAAGTTGGAGTCTCGATATGTCTTATCCAATGAATCTGTATAATATTTTATAACTTGATTTATCATAGATAGTTGTACAGTGTGTATAATCTAACTACTTATCAAAACAGAAAAAAAAATCAAAACAGAAGGTGGCCTATAATCTAATTACTTATCAACGCGAGAAACTTCTCACTTTTGAAAAAAAGAAATTAAAAAACTTCTCATCAACTCAATTTGACTTATAACTAAAACGGGGTCGTTTTGGTGTTAAACTGAACACATTATATTGCTTAAATATTGATCGAACTTTTTAAAATAAATAGTAAAATTAAACTACAATAAATTCAAATCGAATACATTTGTTATATATATTTTTTATATTCCAATTGTTATATCTACCTTTATAACATAAGAGAATATCTTTTATTTACAATTATCAAATGACCAAGGATGAGCGGAAGGAAGTGTGTATAACTAAAAATTTCACTAGAATATAGGATAATGTTAGGAGTAAATACGTAACAAACATTCTAATAAATGCAATACTTTTTTTTTTCTTTTTTATAAATGTTGTTGTATCCAAGTATATTTTCATTAATCACATAATTATCCTTAGGTGTGCTTTTTGGTGATCTAACTTCTATGCTTAATTGAAGACTTTCCGAGCTTAGGTGTGCTTTTTGAATTTCTTGAAGGGGAACTCATTTCTCATTCTGAAAATTGGCTGCATTTTAGTATCTTTAACTTGATGAGCTGTCTCCTAAACCTGAAAAAAGTAATTGTATTCTTTCTGTTTGCCACAGTGGCTTGACAAATTCAAATTACACTGAGTTGACCAAGTTATACGAGAAGTACAAGGATCAAGGTTTGATCTGGTTTTACTATTTTCCAAGTTTCTGCTGGTGCTTGGTGCCCTTCTCTTTCTGCAATAACTGCTATTTGATCATACACATAAATTGATTTTTTCACTCCTTGCATTTTGGAACCCAAGTGCTGAGTTTCACTTTCAAGAGTATATCAGTTCTTGTAAGACCAAGAATTTGTCTATGAGTTGTGTTGCCCATCATTTTTCTTAAACAGAAAATAAATAAATAAAATAATTTTTTTTTTTTATTTTTTTGGAATCTCAATGTGATTTCATTTTCTTAGGTTTGGAGATTTTGGCATTTCCATGCAATCAGTTTGGATCACAAGAGCCCGGCACCAATGAACAAATCCAGGAGTTTGCTTGCACTCGCTTCAAAGCAGAGTATCCCATATTCGATAAAGTAAAAGCTTGTTGGATCTTTCTATTTCATTTGGAGAAATGAAACTTAAATTTAGATGGAATATTTGTTCTATTTGTCTTCAATCTGGAATGAGTATGAGAATACATTCCACATTTGAAAAATCTCTCTTAATATGCTGATGATAAAGATTCAATTTTTTCCCTACTCAGATTGAGGTAAACGGTTCAAATGCTGCTCCACTGTACAAATACCTGAAATCAGGCAAAGGTGGGCTTTTCTGGGACGGCATAAAATGGAACTTCTCCAAATTTCTTGTTGACCAAGAGGGTCGTGTTGTTGACCGATATGCCCCCACTACCTCCCCTCTCAGTATAGAGGTGCGGAAATTATTTCGTAAATTCAAATAACGCAGTATTTAATCGGATAATAGCTGAAAGATCTTGCTGCATTCCCGTCTTTGCAGAAGGACATAAAGAAACTCTTGGAGAAAGGTGCGAACAAATGAGGAGAATCATTGAGCAAGAATAAGAAATGCAGTGGGCATCACTTGATAATAACAATAATGATAATAGTATTGCCTCTCAGCATACTTGAATGAATAATGAATCTTTCTATAATTGATGTGAATGCTTTTCAATGCAGATGATTAGATGTTTCGATTGTTACAGATCGTGAAGTGTATGGACGAGTGTTATGGGTGCGTATGGATATGAGACAAAATTGGTTTTTATCGGTTTTGACCGATTGAATTATTTTGTTTTCAATCTTCCAACTCAAAATCTAATGCAATTCAACTATCTTGAATATTATTAATATATTAAATAAATAATTAATTAATTTTATACATCACATCAAGTTTAATTTATTATTAATGTATTTGTATAATTTTAATTACATATAATGTTTAATAGCTCTCTTCTGTTTCTACATCAACTTTAAATACGTAAATATTATTTAATTATAAATTCATAATTATTCACTCAATCAATTTTATTTAAAATAATTTATTTTTACCAATCAAATTTATAATTTGGTTTTATGTTAGTCCTGTATAGTTCATGTTTGGGACGCCTTTTCATCTTGTGTTTAGTTTTTATTGTCATTTGTTGGTTCTGAAGAACAGAGAAGTGATTAAACTACATTTATAATTTGGTTCTATGTTAACGTTGTACAAAAATAAAAGTACTGACAAAAAAAACAATAACGAAGAATCGAGTGTTTTGGAGAGATGAAAATTGAAAGCTTACTTTTTTTTTTCTTTTTAATTAAAAATTTTGATTTTTTTTAATTTAATTATATATTTAGTTTTAGGGAGATGAAAGCTACATTTTTTTTTTCTTTTCTAACTAAAAATGAATTTTTAATTAAAAAATTTAAATTTCCTAATTTATTATTTATTTAGGTTTGGGAAATGAAAGTCACTATTATTTAAATAAAAAAAATGAAAGTAATAAATAATTAAAATACAGGAGTCTCGACATTATAATATTTTATAACTTAAATTTATCATAAAAGTTGTACGTGTTTATAATCTAATTACTTATCAAAACAAAAGTAAGTGTGGGATCCAACACGCTGAGCGCAATTTGGTTGTCATGTGGAAAAGCTTCCAAACGCTGACATGTAGCAAAAGCTTCCAGACGCTGAGCGCAATTTGGTTGTGCATGAGGCAAAAGCTCCCTCCAAGAAGTGGTCCAAGAATTAGGTGTTTTGGAGAAAAAGATTGAGAAACCTCTCACTTTATGTTTTGAAAAAGGAAAACTAAAAAACTTCTTATCAAGTCGTTTTGACATTTAACTAAAACAAGTCGTTTTGAAAGTTAAACTGGACACATTATACTGCTTATATATTGATCAAATTTTTTAAAATAACTGTTTATAGAATAGTAAAACTAAACTACAATCGAATAAATTTATTATATATATTTTTTATATTCCGATTGTTATATGTACCTTTATAACATAAGAGAATTTCTTTTTTGTACAAGAATCAAATGACCGATGAGCCGAAGGAAGTGTGTATAACTAAAAATTTCACTAGAATGTAGGATAATGTTGGAGTAAATACGTAACAAACATTCTAATAAATAAGATACTTTTTTTTTTTTCTTTTTTATAAATGTTAGTTGTATCCAATTATATTTTCATTAATCACATAATTATAATTATTTCTCAAATAATATACTGATAGTAATATAAATAAAAAAATAATTTTCATAAAAATAAAATATTATATATTAAGTCAAATTTAGCAGAAAATACAAAAGTCGATTTTTGTATTTTTCTACTCCAAATAGTAAATATTATAGACGTCCAATACTCCCACTCGAGATACACTACCACCATTTGATTGTGCTTTCTTTTGTATTCAAACAAATGGCGTCGCCTCAGTCTTCATTTGATTTCACTGTCAAGGTCAGCCCACAATTCGTTGTCTATGTGGTTTTTCAAGAAACCTTTTTTTTGTTTTCTTATTTTTTTTCCTTGTGTTTTTCAAGTAGCAATCAAGATTCTTGTCGCTAAACCCTGCATTCAAATCCAAATTAATTGGTCTGTCCTTTTGTTTTCCGTCAATTTTTGTCCGACGAACTCAAAATTCCGTGCAAGTTTTGTTTCAAAAAGGTTGAAATGCCGAAACAGGAGTCAACGTAATCAGAAATTTGAATTCTCAGAACTGAAATTGCCAATTAAAATGAATGAAATCGATGGTGACCTTCAGATTACAATTGGTATTTTATTTATTTTTCAGGATGCTAAAGGAGGTGATGTGGAGCTAAGCAATTATAGAGGAAAAGTGTTGTTGATAGTCAATGTTGCTTCAAAGTGGTAAATATGTTCTTTGTGGAGTTTTTACTCTTTTCCTGTGATAATGCTCGTCCTCTGATTACCTTTGTGATGGTGAAAACTTGTTAGGGACACGAACTATTTGTAGCACAGTTGGGATTGAATACTATTAATGATATATATATGCTCCTCTACGTTTTGTGTAGTTGCAAAGAACATAGTTGAACTCCTATTCTAGCATCAGTATAGTGTTTGCTAGTGTTTGGAGCCATAGTTGAATTCGTTTGTTTTGTATGCGCGTGTGAACTGATGGTCAAAACCCCCACACCAATAGGATCAAATCCAACGTATTTGTGAATGTGTACTAAACGATACTTTTACGAGTCTTCAGAAAAAATTCTAGTGAGGTTGTTTCTTATTCATGTTCTTTGATTCGATACTGCAGTGGGATGACAAATTCAAACTATACCGAGCTAAATCAGCTGTATGAAAAGTACAGAGATCAAGGTATGTTTTTTCGGATTTACGTCCACTCTTATATGTATGTAGACAACTATTTCAATCCGGGTGTGAGACGAAATATAACTCCTTGAATTCTTTTTACATTTTTGTGTCTAGTCATTTGAAGTTGGGAAGGAAAGAGTAAGAAATAAATATAAATGTGATTAGTATTATGCGATTGATCAATCTCATTCTTGGTTTATTTACTTTTTTCCTTTACCTCTTGAATTTTATGAGAACTCGTTTGCTGGTCTATTTTCGATGCAGGCCTCGAGATTTTAGCTTTCCCGTGCAACCAGTTTGGTGAAGAAGAACCTGGAAGCAATGATCAAATTCTCGACTTTGTTTGCACTCGATTCAAGTCCAATTTCCCCATCTTTGCTAAGGTAAAAATCCAAATACCACCCGGAAAATCTTTTCAGGCATCTGTCGAATAATCCTTCCATTTGAGATTTCGTGTCATGCATCTGGTTTTATGTGTTTCAACATTTTCTTTATCACACACACACACACAACATTTTTATAAAACAAAACAATCATCGATCGATTTTGAAATGATTGGTGTTGGCACAAGATTGAGGTGAATGGTGAAAATGCTGCTCCACTGTACAAGTTCTTAAAGTCGGGCAAATGGGGAATCTTTAAGGACGATATCCAGTGGAATTTTGCAAAGTTTTTGGTAGATAAGAATGGGCAGCCTGTTGATCGTTATTACCCCACGACCTCACCTCTCACGATCGAGGTACATAACATAACATCTTTCAATCCATTTCATATATATAAAATAATAATTTGCTTTTACTCGGTTCATAACAGAACAAAAGATGTGGGTATTGATTGGTCATTCTAAATGCTCTGATTGCAGAGGGATATTCTAAATCTATTGGGGTCGTAAAGGAAAAAACGTGTTTTTTCATAACCCTTGCTACCTCGGGTCCTATTGATGCTCGACTAGTCGGTTATCAACTTTAAATGGCTAGAAGATCGAGACTTCTTGTAATTATAATTATCTTGGACTTCTTGTAATATCATCAGAAATGGTAAGTGTAAAATGATTTGAGCTTCTTTTTTAACCTAAAAAAAATTGGAATCTCATCCAGTTTTCTCAGGATTGGATATTATAATTGTAACCTGGAACTCTGAGAAGGGGAAAATGAAGGAAAAGATGGAAATAGGAAACCAAATTTATTGGTAATGAAAATGAGGAAATATAAGTAAGATGAAAATGTCTTTGTCTCCATTGGAAGTATTGTTTCTTTTTTCCCCCTAAAACCCATATCCAGTGAACAAAATTGGGAAGTCGCCTGAAAAATCTGAAAGTTACAGGTAATTCAAGCTAAGGAATACCACTGTTGGCATAAAATCTTGGCCTTCTGATTTAAGTGTAACTACATTAACCACTAGTAGTAAAATTGAACTCAATTCCCCTAATTTTCAAATTTAATTATGAAGAATTTCCCTGCTAATCGAAAATTTTCCAAGTTAAACATTACAAGGTTAAAAAGCTATGCACAACCAACTAGTGTTTTCAATGGAAAAGAAAAAATCCCAATTTTTTTTTTTTTTTTTACCAATACAATCCATTAACACAACATCACTTACACCTATTATAAATTTAGAACAATACATCCTTGCTTAAACTTCAACAGACTATCAAACTCTACTAGTCTCTCCTACTTTCTTAAGATCCTACAGGTTGAATTTCGATACAATCATACATTAGCACAACTCAAACACTCGCACATTTTCTCATTTCCACATATATACAGAGAATTCATAATAGCACATTTTATCATCATCATCATCATAAATTATCCGCGAGTCAGGTCAATATCCTCTTGTGATCTCTTTATGTCCTGTCGTGAACTTAGCTGCCAAGCACTCGGCCCAAAATTAGGATTTTGGCTAGAGGCAGCAGCACTATAAGGGGTGTACGCCTCTTCAGAAGATTGTTCTAGAAGTTTCCTTTCGTTCGTTATTCGGGACTCGGGTTTGGTCTTTGCCTTTGTAGCATCGTACACAAAGCTGCACCCCACCACCTGCACAAAATACACATTAAAAAATTATATATATAAATAAATAAATAAATCTGTAAATGCACGTTGCACATAAACCAAAATTTTCTCTTATTAAAGGTGAATTCATTTTTGTCGAGTGCAAAACCTGCACGTTATTAGCTGCAATAAGTCGGCCGCCTATTGAACCCCCAAGCATATGGCCATCAGGATTACACACAGATATGCTAATACCACCTGTTCGGGAGTGGGGCCCGCCACTCTCAGCCACCAAGTAAGAACCAGACAGGCATAGAATCNCCAAAAAAAAAAAAAACGAGACATGTTAGTTCCAGTTGAATCAATAAGACTGTTATCCTTAAGCATGAGATGACAATTCTTCACAATTTAGTTTTACGATCGGTAAGACTATTATTATCCTTTCAATATAATTAGGAACCTTTGAATCGATCAAGCAACAAATTGAACTTCTACTATTATCCTTTCAATATAATTAGGAACCTTTGAATCGACCAAGCAACAAATTGAACTTCTACGTAAGATAGCATACATAATATAAAGCAATATAAACCTCAAAAGTCACGGTGCTAGAAGGATTTGCAGGTTGCTTTAGTGTCACTACAGAAACCGATCCACTTCCTGACATTATGCATAAAGCTCTAGATCTCTGTTGCGCAAATGCCAATATTTTTGCTGAAATGTCCTGCATGAAATTAGAATTTAATAATACTTTGGCATCATTCATAAATATTTACTGTTGTATTTCACCAGGAAAGGAAAAAAAAATTGACAGACTAATGAATTACATCATCATTCACGTCTAAAACAAACAAAAATGGTAAAACAAAATAGACCAACTATATAATATTAGGGGATAAAAACATATGTATAAAGCTTCGAGACTTTTACAACCAGGATTTTCTCAACCATGCATCATATTCATCCAAAGTTTAATTCGTCGTTTGTCACTAAACGCTTAGTTTAAAAAGGGCACAATAGTGATAATTACATTGATACTGTTAAGGCCATACCTCTCCAATTCCTATGTGAAGAACATGGGGCGTAAAAGCCTGTCCAGCTGAGCTGTTCATCCAATCGCCTGATTCAATTACAAGAATAAACATGGCAAGTTATCTAAAATGGACACGAACCTCATAGTTAAAAAACAAACTGTTATAAAGATGAGACTATCACAAAATAATCACATCCCTGAGAAGCTTAAGATATAAAATCTATGTAGAAAATGAAGACTCACACCTGCAACAACACAGAGGTAACGTATCCAAAACAAAATTACAAGAGTTATATTCGCCCTCTAAATCAACAATCTTTTGTTCTTAATCTTGTTCATGAGCTATATTTTACTTAAATTACTCAAAACTTCATTTTATTTTTTTATTTTTATTTTAATAAAAAAAATCACGCGGGACAAATTCTTACATCAAAACTCAAACGGCCAAGTCACAAATGAAGACAAACGACTAAATTTTCAAAACTAAAACGTTCGTGATACATTCCGAGCAAAAAGTAACTCACCAAGAGGAGCAAGTTTCTGTTTCCACCCAGTCCCGGGCGGCCTCCCTCGTCTTGCTTTCTCCCCCAACGTGTTAGGATCAAACGACGAGGGCATTTTTGGAATATGCGACGACAATTTCAAAGACACTTTAGGCGGTGGGCCTTCGGGCCCGTACTTCCTCGGCCTACCCCTCTTCTTCTTCACTGTCTCAATACCTCCGTGGGACCCACCAGATGCAACAACGCCAATACCCATCTCTCGAGTGTAATTATTATTATCATCACTATTATTATTATTATTATTATTATTATTATTATGAAATGAGTTCTCAACATGGAATGCTGAGGATCCACCTACAGCATTCCCAGTTATCCCTGCATCTGGGCGCAAGGCGATGTTTGGGTGGCTAGAGAGATTTGCGTAAACGGGCTGTGGTGCATGTAGTCCTACTCCCGGGCCACGAGCACCGGGCCTGGGCCCGGGCCCTAAACCACCAAGCCCATCTCTATTGTTGAGGTAGTATGACGATGAGCTTTGTGCAGTCATCCCTTCTCTCCCATCCATTCATTTACTTCTGGGCAAATTGCACTAAAGGTTCAGTAATATTTACAACCTGAAAGTACTTGTTTTTTTAAAGGACAAAACCAGTTGTATGCACCTTTGAAGCAAATCTGAAACTGACCCACCAAATAAAACAAGATAAAAACAAGCTATGAAACAGAATTAAGGCAACACAGCAGGAAAGTATTCAAGCTTTATTAGAGGGTTTCAACATTTCAGGCGTTATGGGGCCAAAAGATGATAAAAAATACAAGCTTTTGGTCTTAACCTGGCAGAGATACTTCAAACTTCAAAGCACAAGCAGAAGAACTCAAAAAGCTTGAATCCCGGACAATTGAACGTCAAAAGCAAAAACACAGCTTATTTTAAAAATGTAGGGGAAAAAAATCCCATCTTTACCTAACCACTCAAAGCTCTCAGCCTTAGAATTCAACAGCTAGTTTCAACTACGACTGACAACAGGGGAGAAAAAAGGAAAAGGGAAAATAAAACCCTAGATTTAGAATGTGGGACACTGAGAGAGAGAGAGTGGGAAATGGGGGAGGTTGGGGAAAGAGGAGGGAGAGGGTAAAGACAAAATCAAGATGAAATAGAAAATTTTTGAGCTTTTATATTTACAAAATTATAGTATAAGAACTATAGTCCCATATAATTTTAGTACAAATATATACTTATGCTATAAAAATATTATACTTTCGTTATTTTTACGGTAAATTCAATAGAGTATATTTATCTGACCTTTGGACCTATCAAACAACAATCTTAATGTTCTTATTTTTAATAATACTAAAACACTTTTATTTATTTACTTATTTATTTTTGGGTTTGAACTTGGAAGGGTGGATTAATATAATTATTGGAGAAAAAAAAACTTGAAAGGGTTGATCTGATTGTCAAGCTAGGCCTCATGCTACAGTGAGTTAGTGACATAAAATTTTACGTAATAGTGTTTGTCTTTTGTCACATCATATTGCTTTATACATCACATTATTTTTAGATCAACAACTATTAAGTATACATATTTTTTATTTAACTCTTATATCAAACATTCTCTCTATATATAATTCAAAATGCGCTGAGCCTACGTGGCAAACTCTCATGCTTTCGAGTTAGGCTTGGATATATATTAATATTTGTATTAATTGTATTTTAATATCATTTCCTATTATAACCATTGAATTGCAAATATATTTTAAAAATTGATAACTTTTGTATTTCTTATCGATTTTACATATATAATATATCAAATTAATCATCTTTTGATGAGCTTCGATTTGACATTCATATTGTATATATAAAACAAATATATTATATTTATCTTTATAATAATAATAAAATTATTTATTAAAATTAATTTAGAAATAAAATTATTTATCAATCAATATATTTATGTTTAATGTAGTTATATGTTATAAGGTAGGAAATTTATTTTAATATAACACATATAAGTCGCACAAGTAACATGTGTCATACTAAAATATATAATAATATATAATCCCTCCTATTTTTATTATTTGTCACTTTAGCTTAATTAATCATTGATAAAATAAATGTCGTTTTAGATATTTTGTTCATATTTTCCATTTTTAACCCTCCATCTAATACCCAGTGTCTCTTCATATCTCATCAATCATCCCATTACATCCATTAAATAAGGTTAATATTGTCAAGAAAAAAAATCTTAATTAGTGTGTTACATTTGAATTGATATTATGAAGTCAGTTTGTATTTTACTATATATATATATATATATATATTATACAAATCAGTAATATATATCCTTATAAATAAAATTTAAATTTATTTATCAAACTCAATTAAATTATCTCAAATAAAACTATAAATTATATTATAATGTAATAGAAATCAGTATGTAGTCTTTTAAAAATAATATTTATTTCACATATAATTGGTGTGTTGTCAATGTAATAAAAATAAATAATTATTTATATAAATTATAAAGTTACATATAAAGTTAAAAAACTGTAAAGCGCGATTGATACGACACTTGATGTATTATGCATCTAATTAAGTAAACAAATTAATCCATTTTGCTTCGTCCCCAACTGGTCCGCGATTGGTGGTTCTTCCTTGGTCATCGGAGGGATGGTGATTGGTGGAGGTAAGACTATTGATTCTTTTGGTCCGTGCTTAGAGGCGTCTTCTCGGTCGTCTCCTCGGTCGACCTTCTCCTTTCCGGCGAGGCTTACGGACCGTTTGGGATCTCTGGTTGCTGGCGTGACAGGGATGGTGTTGGGGGAGGGGCGGGTCAGCGGGTGGGGCTGGGATCCGTCTGCTGTGACGCATTATGTCGGGGTAGTCGGAGTCGAGGAACTGTATTGCTCCCACCCCCTCGTTTTTCTCTGGTGTTGGGAACGAGGAGCTTTGGTGCTACCGGACCCGGCTAGTGGTGTTAGACGTGTTTCTGGTGGTGCCGGTGTGGGGAGTCTGTTTGATGTTCCTTGAGATTGGAGGTGCGTCGTTTTGGGGATTGGTTTGGTGTTCGGGTTCGGCTGCTTGTATAGGCCGGTTGGCAGTTTCGGTGGCTGTTCATGGGCTTTTGGATCTCTCCCTGAAATTGATGGTTCATCCACTGGTTCGACTTGATGTTCTGCTGGGGAAGGGCTTAATTTGTTCCTTGTTTAGGCTTTTAGTTTATTTATTTTGTGTTTTTGTGTTCTTGTTATCTATGTTTGTGTTTTGGTTCGGTTTGGATTAGTCTGTTTGTGTCTGTCTTGTATTTTAGGTTTGGGTCACTTGACCCCTGTGAAGGGATTACTCCGTTGGAGTCGTCCCACATTACCTCGTTGGGGGTCGTTCCACATTACCTCGTTTGGGGTCGTTCCGCATTTAGGTCGTTGGTGTTGTGTCATTGTGAGTTTTTTTTCTAGCGTTGCTAGTCGTCTCTAGGCGGTCTTTTAGACCTGTCCTCCCAGTTTTATTCAGCTGTTGGCTGTATTATTCAGCCATGGACTGTGTACTTTGCACATTTGTGCGTTTTTGTTATATAATATCTTCTATCGTTTCGTAAAAAAAAATAAAAATATATGTATGTATATATTATTAATTAAAATATATTAATAATTGAATTATATTAATAATTTATACTACTATTTATAATTTTATGATCAATTTATAATTTTATACTAATGAATTAAAAAATTTTGTTTACTAATTAATAGGATGAGCATGTTGCCGAGTTTGAGGGTTCTGGACCCCGACACACGTATAGTCGTTGTGTGGATGCTTCCGCTCGGCGGGAGATGGAGGAGAGGCGTCGTGAGGCTCTCCTGGTACAGCTTGGGCAGACTGGCGGTTTGAGACCTCCCGTTCGTCCGATACAGATCGGTCAACAGTCAGGGCCACTCATTCCTGCCACTTCGGGAGGTCCCCCTCTGATACAGAGTGGTCAGCAGTTCGGTCAGCAGTCTGGCTCAGTCATGGCTGGCAGTTCGGGAGGTCTCGTTCGTCCGATACAGAGTGGTCAGCAGTTCGGTTGGCAGTCAGGCTCAGTCATGGCTGGCAGTTCGGGAGGTCTCGTTCGTCCGATACAGAGTGGTCAGCAGTCTGGGTCACTCGTACCTGTCAGTTCGGAACGTCTCCCTCGGATACGTATCACTCGGTCGCAGGGTTATTCTTCTGAGTCGGCAGTCAGAACTCCGGCGAATGATGATGATGATGATGATGATGATGATGGTGGTGATGGGGATGACGAGACATTTGACTCCGACTATGTGGCAGCTGAGCAGGACATTGTATCTCTTGACCCACAGGCACAGCCAGAGCGGCCACAGGGTCCTGCACCTGCACCTGCACCTACACCTGCAGCCGGTGCAGGTAAAAGACTCATTGGAGTTAATCCTCCACGACAGGGTGGGGGTCGTTTTGCGGGTGCTGGATCTTCCTCAGGTAAATGATTTACGTATTTATTGTTGTTTACCATTTTATGTTTTTTTATTAAATAATTGATACGGTCAGTCACAATATGTCGTATATATATTGATTGTTCTATTCTAATACAGGTGCGAGTAGCAAACGGCCGAAGAATGACCCCTGGATCGTTACAGCCCCAGTGCCCGGTGGCCCCGTTGACGGGAGTGTTATCCCTAGTTTTCTAGGGCACGTAGCCTCCCGTATGTGGACTGGAGAGTTCAGAGGCATGCTTAAATGCCAAAACAGGCAGGGCGCGCACGGTGAATTGAGGGGCTGGCTCGAAACGATGGTCCAGGATGCGCGTGATATGATCGTTCAGACCGGGCTGTCACATTTGGCATCCAGCATGCATACTCACGTCGACATTCCACTCATTTCTGCATTTGTGGAGCGCTGGCAGCCGGATACCAACTCGTTTCACCTGCCTTTTGGTGAAATGAGTATCATGCTGCACGACATGAGGGCCATTTTGGGTGTTCCTGTGGATGCAGCGGTTGTCAGTGTGGACCCCGACGGCCTGACCTGCCAGTCGAACTGCATGGAGATCCTCGGGGTGGACCAGAGTCATCTGATGACGCGTCTTTGGGATCACGGGTCTGTGACAAATCAAGCCGTTTTTGAAGCATTGATAAAGAATGGCGCAGCTCGGTCGGCTGAGCATGTGGCTATTGGCTGGTTGTGGGTGCTGCTCGGTACCACCTTGTTTGTGGACAAGAGTGGTAACAGGGTAAGTCCCAAACTCCTGCACGAGATGATGGACAAGGTACGGGAAGTTGGGACTTACTCTTGGGGCTCGGCTGCGCTGGCATACCTGTACAGACAGTTAGGTATTGCCAGCAGGGGGGACTCACAGGGAGTGTCTGACTGCTTGACTCTCATGCAGTCCTGGATATATGAGTACTTCCCCACCTTCCGACCCCAGCGAGCACGTATGATCCCCGAGCCTGGCTGTGTCGCCCGATCAGTCTCGTGGAGCGTGGCGGTGACAGAGAGGTCAGATGCGCGCCTCAAAGCTTTCCGTAGGCAGCTTGACATTCTCACCGCCGCCGAGGTGCGTCAAGTTATTTTAT